GAAGGACAGCGGGAGCCCCGAGACACGGGCAGCCACGAGAGCGCGCAGCCTCCCCGGGGCCGTAGTAGCGCTAAAGCTCTGTCTTTCGGAAAGACGTTTAAGCCTTCTTGCGCATGGGTATATCCAGGAGCCAAGGTCAGGCCTGCAGCACCTCAACAAATCCCCAGGCGTTAACAAAACGTCCCTCAGAGGCAGCAGCTGAGGCAGCCCAGCTGTGGGACACTTACAGACGCCATTAAAGCCATAACCCCTGCTGCTCAAAAATATTCCTTGCTATGAAGTTTCATCCATGGCTCTTGCAAGGAATCATCATTCCAGTTATGCCTGGTTTTCCATTCCTTACAAGTTTTGCCCAGTGGCTCTCCGGGTACCCAACCCAGCAGCAAAAGGTATCCCAGAAAAGCAGGGCTAGTGCCATGCATGTGTTACAGGGGCACCTCCTCTGCCTCTGGGGATTTTAGGACTCTCAAAATCTTCTGAAGAAAGTCAAAAGCCACTGTTCTGCCCACTCTGAGAAGTGATTTAGATCTCTGAAGGCACCTGGTGCTTTTTCATTTGTCTCTTGCAAGAGCCTAATTGCAAAAGTGATTCTAGTAAGTGCTAACATTGATGCTGACAGGCATAAAATACTGCGTTGCCATCACCTTCCTCCATGAAGTTAAGCACAGGCTGAAGGGATTTGCTCACGCAGGACCCTTTTGCACACTCCTTTCATTGCTGCACTGGGGAATTTTTCACTACACATCCGCAGGCTCTTGATGGATCCCCGTGCAGCAGATTGCCTGGACCTACAGGCATGATTGAGGGGAGCCAGGGACAGCAGCCACCTTAATTCAGGCTCCACAATAACTCACAGCACCCTCCCTTACGCCTGGTAGCACCAGGCAGGGCCACGTGCTTAAAATTCTCCCATGTGGCTCTGCCACCAACTCTCCCAGTCTCTTCGCTCTACCAAAGAGCCACCGAAGTGCTCCACAACTCCAGCTGGGACTGGGCAGATGGCCCTTCAAAGAGCCCTCCTCCCCTGCTGCCCAGTAAACATGGTGATCCCCTGCTTGGGAAAAAGAAACCCAAGGGATTTCTCCATGCCTGGCTCCAGGTGCCTCCCGTGGTTTGATTCGCCTGCCAGTGCACCCAGCAGCTACTGCAAGCCCCAGCTGAGATGCCCCTCGGGTCACTGCTGGTTTTTCAGCCTCCCCAGAGCTGCACAAGCTGCAGATAACCCCGAGGAAAAAGCTCTGCAAGCACCAGCAGTGCAAGTATCTCTAGGCTGAGCTCAGCATCATTTCTTCAGCTAGGAATACAAATCCTGCTGGCCGATTAACACATCTCACCTCACGCTTGTTGCCTTAAGCTCAGTTTTTAGGTTCATGTTTGTTATAGTGCCGCTCCAGTTCAAATATCATATTTTGCCAAGAATTAAAGGTGGTGTAAACAAGCAAATAGAGAGCTTTACGGGCTGACTTACTCTTCATCTGCGGCATGAAAATTCAAGTCAAGGACCTGCAGGTGTTCCCAAGAGATGGTGAGCATTTCCCAAAGCCCCCTTGGAGCCACAAGGGCTGCAGGTCCACTGGCCTGGGAGCTGCCTTCAGGAGGGAGCGTGCTTAAAAACCGGAGACCCAGGGGAGCGCCCTGGGAGCATTTCCATGACCACACACACCAAACTGATCCCAGAAAGTACGAGCTGCCTCTCAGCGGGCAGGACAGCTTGGACTCCAGCCCTGCAAAGCGCCGGTGCGTGCAGGCGCGCTCAGCATGGCTTGAGCGGTGTGTGGGGACCGGGCTCCCCGCAGCCCTTTCCCTGGCTCTTGCGCTCCTCGCCAGCAGTGGAATCTGTGTGCAAACCACCCTCCTGATTAGATGCAGATGCAGCCAACGTTAGAGGGAATTCAGCAGGCTAATAAAGGGCTTTATGAAAACAGCAGCAAAAAAAAAAAAAAAAAAAAAAAAAAAAAAAAAAAAAAAGGCTGGAGAATGAGGAATTGCACTGAGAGCCCAGAGACCACCCTCATGCCCCAAAGGCAGCCAAACTGGAAACACCCAAGTGTGAAATACAGGCCAGACTTTGGGGCAGCCCATAGCAGAAGGAATACGGGTTTCTACCTCCCGCAGGGTGCGGATAATCCAACACAGCCCTGTTGCAGCCCGTGAGGTCCCCCAGGCCCCTTTGCTGGGCATATGGACCAGGGAAAGGTGCTCAATATCAGTGACTTCTAGACCCTACTGCTCTGTGCCTGATGCAGGAGAGCGTGAAAGCCGGTCATCCTAAGCAGAGGCTCCAAAGTTCAGCACATGCTTAAGCCATTTGCTTACGTAAAGATGCATTCCTGAATCCAACTGCTAGTCTAGATTAATGCCAGCCAGCTACAGATGAACTTCTCTGAGTCATCCCCTGGAGACATCAGGTCCCCTAAAATAGCAACAAGAACAGAATACACAAGAAGACTTGAATATGTTGACAGAAAACTACAACCACAACATTTTACATAGTGTAATGAACATGCTACCCTTACACAAACTGAAATAAGGATTTGTTTCAAGCCAGGACAATGACCCCCCCGCAAAAGATAAGCCCCCCCACCCTTAGATTTCAGTCTCAGGTGCTGGGAATAACCCTGCTGATGCTGCTGAGCTTGCCTGACAACAGCAGCAGGCAGCATTTTTCTTTCTCCTGCTTTTTTGATACAGCAAAGCAGACTGAGGAAGCAGCCAGAGACACCAAAATCAGTGGATGTCATCAGAAACGGAATAGCAACAGCTGGCATTGCAGAGGGAGCACTTTGTAAAGGGAAACATAGCAAAACAAGCTCAAGACCTCAAAAGCTGCATGTAGGCAAGTAATAACCTTAAGACAAGCAGGGGAAAATTTCAGAGGGGAGAGGAAAAAAAAAAAAAGAGAGAAAAGTGCTATTTTCTCAGAAGTTCCCTGCAGATTTTAATACTCCCACTGCTCTGTTTTTCAAGGATTCCTATTTCTTCTTGCCATTTGACTTACCTACAGCAGAGGTAAAAACAGCCACCCAAGGCTAATGGGCCAGAGCAAGGGGCACAAGAACCAGCATGGCACATACTAAAGCACTGTGTCTAATAAGGATCACAACACCTCTTCCTAGGGAACACCAAGCAGAGGTGGGGGGTTATCAAAGCCCAAGACCACCAATAGGCCATTATTGCCCCCAACGGGGCTCACCTGGGACCCCCACACCCTCTCAACATTGCTCCAGGATCTCTATTTAAGCCCAGCTTTGAGGGGCACCTTATTCTCTGAGTTGTGCTGTAGGTGCCTTTGCTTCTATATCTCTTACTGAGCTGTAGGGATTTCCCTAACTGACCTCAGACTTGCATCAGGGTGATGTTTTTACCTGGTGGCTTTGGGAGAGTTGATAGACCCTAATGCTGTCATCACCATGCCCGTATTGCTTGGGTCACCTGCTCTGGGCCTATGATCCACTGGTGAGGTGACTGCCTAGTCTGTGGTGTAGTCACCATTGGCTCCCAGCTTGTCTTCCCTTAGGAAGTAGCCAGCCTTTGCCAGGGATGTGGAGAAAAGATGCAGCGCTGGGTCAGTGCTGAGCTCCTGGCAGCACCAGCTGGAGCCTTTCCTGAGGGACCTCAGCTCCTCAAACCCATGGGTGCCTCTTGCCCACCCCTTCTGCCTCCAACCCTCTTAGGTCCCCTACCTGTCCTCATCCATCTCCTGAAGGTCCCACAACTGAACTGTCCCTCAACCGTCCTGTGGCGACTTTGAGTCCCTCACATGCGTGGGAGAGGAAATTGGGCTGTCAAGAAGACTTGTTTGAGGGAGCCTGGGAAGGGGCTGCCGGAGGAGCTGCCTGGAAGCAGGGGGTCTCTGCAGGCGGTACCGCAGGGATGGGGGAGCCATGGTAGGTAACCACGTTGGTAAGATGTGGCCAAATACAATCCACAGAGTCCCCTTGAGGATGGGTGGGCTCAAGGGGGCCGCCTGCACAGAGCTGAGCCTAGCGGTTTCCATAAAAGCTAAATCCTGAGGACATCCCTCTGGCGCTCGATTTCTCCCCTGGCCACAGTTGCTCTCTGTGGACAACCAGAGTTTCTCCCGTGTGTGAGGAGCTGCACCAGTGGGCAGCCCGCAGCCTGGCGGCTGCCCGGCTGGAGGGGCCCAAGGTGGCTGCATCCGCGGGGAAACACAGGAGCGGAGGCTGGAGGTGACACGAGGAGCGCAGGGATCAGCGCTGCGGCCGTGCTTTACAAACACGCAGCCAGGACGCGCTCGGCTGGGGAAAGGCAGAGACGGCCCCAAATCAGCGCCCTGCGAGCC